CTGAAGTATCTAGAGACAAACAAAGAAAAGGTAATCAAGCGCGCACTGCCAAGCAAAAGACCCCTCCCAGTTCAGAGGAGAGCTCTTCCAGTAGTTCATCTGGGTCCGAGTCGGATTCAGATTCTGACGGGCAGTCTTCTGCTAGTAGCCCGGACAAGAAAGCTTTGAAAGAGGCAAAACAACAATCTTCCCCCGGGAAGACGGGTGTTTCTTCCTCGCGTCGCAAAGGTCAGCAACAGTCCCCACAACACCACACTCCAAGTCCTCCTGCGAAGCCGGCAAAGCGCTCTTCGGACAACGCTGCACCTTTGAGACGACAAAAGCAAAGTGCAAGCCCGAGTCCATCTCCCGTACGTAGGAGGTCACCTCAAAGAACTACTCGTGCCAGACAGATGAATCGAAGTCGGAGCATCAGTAGATCTCGAGGAAGAAGAAGTAGAGAAAGATCGCAAAGCCCCGAACCTAAACGACGTCAGCGATCCAGAAGCACTACACCTCCAAGACGAAACAGAACACCGACTTCGTCTCCTCCGAGACAAAATCAATCAAGAATGTCCAATGTGCGTCAGCAGAGAAGTCCCAGTCGCAGTCCACAGCGCCGACAACCGGCTCCCTCCCAAAAACGTCAACAAACTAGAAGCGCTACCCCACCAGTAAATCAAAGAAGCCCAAGTCCTGTCCAAAGACGTCGGTCAGAAAGTCCAAATCCTCCACGCAGCTCAATCCAACAGGAAAGACGTCACCAGAAAAGTCGCAGCCGCAGCCATTCCCCTCAGAGGGCACCCCGTAGACGCCAACCTTCCCGGAGCCCATCCCCAGTGAGAAACAGAAGAAGGCCGAGCCCTCCTGCCAAGCGACGGAGATCTGAAAGTCCACCTCCTCCACGTGGGTCACACCAACAGCAAAGAAGACATCAGAGAAGTCGCAGCCGTAGCCATTCCCCTCCGAGGGCACCTCGTAGACGCCAGCCTTCACGGAGCCCATCCCCAGTGAGAAACAGAAGAAGAAGTCCAAGCCCTCCAGCCCGGAGAAACCAGTCAGGGAGTCCCATCCATCAACGACGCTCTGTTCAGCAGCAGAGCAGAAGTCCCGCGAGAAGACAGAGAGGCAGCCCTAAGAGCGCTCCTCCCAGGCAGTCCCGTAGGCGAAGATCGTCTTCAAGTCCATCGCCTGCAAGAAACCCTCCCTCAGCAAGTCAGTTAGCCAGAAAACGAAGCCCTGTTCAGAGACGTCACCGAACTCCCAGTGCATCGCCTGAACCCGAGAAAAGCACACCTGATCAGAGAAAACATCAGACCTCGCCTGAATCGGAAGATACAGATGACCATGAATCTCCACCCAAAAGGTAAAATATGAAGTTGTCACCAATAGTATCTGACGGTAAACCAAAGAAGATATCTAAGAGCCTTTGGTGTCAATAGAGACTTAAAGAATCACGTTTATGGCGAAGAGCAGACGTCGGTTTACACCACTTAACCCGAAGTTTTCCCTTTACTGATCTTTTACCACTCATTGTATCTGTTCAAAAGTATGCAGTTTCATGTCAAGTTCATCCATAAGAATTCTTTTGGACAGTTTTCATCCTAATATGAGAATTTGTCAGCTTGTATCCAGTCACGTATGCCTTAAACGTAATTCCAAGTCTCTCTATTATTTATTTACATTACTTTAAACATTATTAAACCATTTACCGCAAATGAATCAACCGAAGAAATACTGCTTTCGGAGAATTTCAAGCGACATAGTTGGTTTAAACTTGACGGGAAACAGTTGGGCTGTCAGATGCCATGTGATCTGCGTGTAGCTAGTGGGGGCACCCACCCCTCTTTGGGAATCAACAGTAACAACCCACATTTTTATGTTGCCTCAAACAGACCTTATTCACGATACTCGACTTCTTTGCACGCGCTTTAGGGTTGATGATATAAAAGCAATGTGACATGGTATATCAGGCGGCAAACAAGTGATAACATTTGCCAATACGAGTGATGGCGGTCGAGTTTGTTTATTCTTTCCAAACGAAACAACGTTTTATACTTGCAAAATGTACAGTTCGAGTTTTTGGCAAGTTTTATTGCATGCTGTAAAGACATGTAGGGTTGCTACTGCATTCAAAAAAAGTAGCAATGATCACGTCCACCCATATGTGCCGTTATCGTCTTCTGTCGTCTAGATTGAACAAACTCGACCGTGATTTCTTGTAGTGGTAGATTTTCAGACTTGTTTGCCCCCTGAGAAATCACGTGACATTGTCCTTAAGGGCGTGCTAAGATGGCGGGTATAGTGAATAAGGTCTATTACAAAGTACATGAAAAGAATATCACACTTTACTTAATGGGGCAGAAACCTATTCAGAAAAGTAAAAAATAAACGAGCTAAGAAGCCACAGAAATTGATATAATTTCTTCGGCGTGCAACACATAGCAACAAAAAACAAATAAATGAGTAATAATGATAACAATAATGATAATAATAGTTATTATAATGATGTGAAGGTAAAAGAGAATTCAGCTTTATAACTACAGTATCAGTATCAAGTACATGTCTTGATCACTTTCTGTCCTGATGTTTGTTCTCTTAAGAGCGGTTCAGGAGAAGCCTCGTGTTGAGAAGGCGAGCAAAACAAAGAACACTGAGAGTAAACCCCGAAAGAAAAGTAGCAGCGAAAGTGAAAGTAGTTCAGAGAATGACAGCAGCAAGAGTGAAAGTAGCAGCGACAACAGCAGCAGCGAGTCCAGTAGTAGTGGCGAGGAGGAGTCTGACTCAGACAGCAGCGGTTCACAAAGTGACAAACCAAGACGATAACGAGTTAGCCACTGATGGTGTGTTAGGTACGGGTCAAAGCCTGTTGCTGAGTGGCACAAAGTTGATTCCTTTCTCGTTTGGTTGCTAGCTTAGTGTTAACATCTCGTGCTTAGGAATAGGTCTAGACTCGCAGACGAAACGGTATCCAGTGGCCTAAACCTTATACCTTATTATTGTAGACTTGAGACTCTACCTGATAACTTGTTATACAAAAAGGAAGATTAATTTTGCAAACACTTCCGGTATTAGAGAGTCAGGAAAAGTCGCCGTTCCTAGAATGCCGGCTAATTACTGAACAGGAATTGAATGTCAGTTGTATTGATAAAATTAAGATCTTAGATAAGTTTTGGGTTTCTTGCCAAGAAGCATTTTTTCTGTCAGGCTGCGATGTGACTGTATTCTCGATCATTCGAAAAGTTTTTATCCAACTTAACATTTTTATAGAACCCGATTACGCTATCTTCAAAAATATAAAAAAGCGATGTGATTAGTTTTAAGAATGTACTCTAGAATTTGATCATTAAAGTCCTTTGCATGAACGGAATGGAATGGAATAGAAATTTTTTAGCTTTAATTATAACAGAGCGGACATAACAGTCCAACATCCTTATGCGTGCGAACATGTTGTGTTTATAGTCAGTGTTCCATTTGACAAGTGAGATCGAAAAACTTATGAGACTAAAATAGTGTTTTTGCTATCCCATAATGTTTAACTTAATAAAGTTATTATTGTCCGTCTGTCGCACCTGTGGATATCCTGTGAACAAAGAATGAAATGGATTAATTTTGTGAACAGAATAACAATGTGCAATTTAAAAGCATCGTCACACGTTCCTTCTCAACCGCCTCCCCCCCCCTTACCCTTGCCCTTGAATAGGCCTGTTTCAAAATACCATAATACTCTTTGTTGTCCCTCCAAAATTGTGCATAAACATTGTTTTCAGTTTCTCTTGGGACTTACAATCGCCTGAAGAGAAATTGAAAACAATTCTTATGCGAAATTTGATGGACAAAAACAAGCATTATGGTATTGAAAAAAAACGGCTATGAAATAGGTCATTTCCGTTTTTTCCTGGCCTCTGTATCAAAACGAGGTTAAGTGCTTGGCCTTTGACAGGAAAATGATTCTTCATTCTCATGCAAACAAGAACGTTCTTGGTAACGTTGAGTCTCGCTTGGAGCCCATGCGGCTTGGAGATACGTTTTGTTGTCAGAGGCGCTGGTGCTGTTATGCCACGTTTTCGTTTTTAACACAAAACGAGTGTCATAATCATAATGTAAATGCTCAAAATGTAAAAACTACAAGGAGAGACAGGCCGCATATCTTAGCTTCACACCGGCGTGAAACCTTTGAAAACCTTTTACATATTGATATTGCTCCAGCGAGGAGAACCCTTTGACGGATTTTACACTCAAAAATTTGAACGATGAATTTTATCAGTATAGCTTCTTTGTAGCGGACCAAAATACGGCTAGGTACTGTTTTTGTTCAGTATAGGAAAATGTGTGTAAGTTTAGCAGAACCTTATACAACAGACAGTTTTTTCGCGCGTACTCCTGTCGAATTTGTTGTCCTTTTTTTAAGATATCAAAATCTCGAGAAAGTATTTGCTTTTCCCGTAGCCGTTAGTATCTGCTTTTGATATCTCCGTACAGTTGATGTTTATGTGATCTCAGATTACATTTTTTAGAGCTGTACACAGCGTGCATTTTAGGCAGTATCGCTGGGATAAAGCGTTTCATTTTCCAGGAAAATTTCACTTTCTCGTCAAAGCAGTCACTGACTCTGCTGACTCAGTCAGACTCAGAGTAGTTTACTCAAATTTAGTGCTCAGTACTATACAGTGAACGGGGTTATGTTCTGTGAAATTTACCTCCAGTCTGCGGCCCACGATGACATCACCACGATCCACGATTTATTCTAAAAATGACTATAACGTGAATTTGCTTTATTGCAATTGCCAGTAAAAGGCTTTACCAAACAAGACGGCGTGAATTTTGTCCCTTGTCCTAAACAGGGCAATAAAATTGAGGATGTTGTCACAAACGGGGTATGTATTTTAGGAACTTTTTGTTATTATCAGGGTCAGGGTTTCAAACCCCCACAGAGGCAACACAGAGGCCGGGCGAATTTTCGGCCTATGACGTAACGGACATTGATCTAGTGCCAGGCGATACTCGGGCATCCCATCAATATGGCTGACGCCGGTGTGGGAACCGACTTGTTGGCAGAAATGCAGAACGCTTTTTTGAACAACGAGAAATTTCTTATGGCTCAAAATGTAGTGACACAGTACGATCCTCTTGAGGTCTGTCTGGATAGAAATGTGGCAGAAACTGTAAATCACGTCTACAAACACAAGGTAATATAACGATCGCTCCAGTAAGCCTTTTGTTCGGCCAGAAAAAATAGAAAGGAAGGATTACGAACTAAGGATACATACTTTTCCTCAGAATTGACTGCCATCTTGAATTTACCCTTTACACCTCTGTTTCACCCCATCGTGTCGAGCCTGTGCTCTCACTGATCTCAGACATTCAAGATTTAAACTACCGTAAGCTTCCGATTATTTGGGAGAATTATCGTCGACAGTTATGAAGGGTTTAGAAGGGCTCATAAACGGGGGGCTTATATTCGAGGTGGGGGTGGGGGGGGGGATGTGTGGGGCTATAACCGGACAAAAACAATTGTTTGAAGACAAGCTAGATAGCAATGCTGATCAAAATACTATTTGAATTTGATCGTTTTATATGAGCTTCAAAACGTCGTAAAAAGTCAAATTCATTTGAATACATGCTAGAGGGGGGCTTATATTCGGTGAGGGGGGCTTATAACCAGCTCAAAGCACCAACAGTGGGCAAAAATTAATGCACCCATCAATGTAATCCTGCAGAGGTAGGGGTGGGGTGAGGAATGTGTGCAAAGGATGGAGAAAAGATTTGGTCAATGTCTTGAAGGGTGGAGGATAAATTCATCAAATTTAACCAGAGGGGCACAAGAGGCACATGAGGGGCACAATAAAAAACGAAAGGCACAATAACTAATTTATTTCAAATACTTTTAATTATGATTGTCACCAACCTGATTTAACCTATCCACCTTTGTGCTGTAAAATATTAAGATATTTCATTATAGTTCAGAATAAAAGGTGCATTCTTTCCAAGGTACTCACTTGAAAGATTAGCAACCCTGTATAAAAAAAACCTTTTGGAGTAGATTGCTCATGAACTAGGCAATAAAAAAGTAGGATATTGGGGATAGAGTAAAATAGAGGGAAAACACAAGAAGAAAATGAAATAGGATTGTACATGTACCAATGTGTACTCTTACCACGGTGTGCCATCCTTGGTTTCTCAAGGGTAAACAATACAGTTGGCAGAAAAAGAGTGATATTTACTGATGTGAGTAACTTTTTAGTAATATCCCAAATTTCTCATTTTACTTATCCTGGATTATCTTATTAGGTCAAAGAAGTCAAACCAATAACAAACCAGCGTGCATCAGGAAGGTGTTGGATTTTTGCATTTTTGAATGCAATCCGTCAGAAATTTGTCCAACATTTCAACTTGGAGGACTTTGAATTTAGTCAACAGTATCTCTATTTCTGGGACAGAATAGAAAGGTCCTACTTCTTTATAAATGTATATGAAGAGTTGGCCCGGAAAGGAGAGAAGCCTGATGGCCGCTTGATGATGTTTCTGTTGTCCAATCCACTGAATGATGGAGGCCAATGGGATATGCTTATAAACTTGGTGGAAAAATATGGATTGATTCCCAAAGAAGTCTGGCCAGAGGCATTTACTGCTGGCCGGTCAATGCGGCTGAGAAAAATAATGAACTACAAGGTATGGAAAGGTTTTGTTGAATTTATACTTTCTCTCTTATTGTTTTTTAAATGACACAAGTACACGTCAATAATTATTGTTTTTTATTACATGCATTAACTTAGTTTGCTTATATCAGCTCATGGTGTGTAAAATGTTTTGTTGTGTTTTTGTTTTGCCAAGGTATAGAATATAACAGACGAGTATGATTAAAACCAAAATCAATTCACAAATTTACCTGACCTTCTAATTACCACAGGGGGAAGGGGAGCTTCCATATCATTAAAAGGGATGGGGATGCTCATCATTTTGTGTCGAGTCATAAAGTGGTGTTATTTTCCTCACTTAGATTTTTTAGTCCAAGATCCAATATTTTTATCCATATGAAAGACCAAATGTCATCATTGTAACTGTGTTTGTAGACAGCATTTGATGTCAGCATGTTTAGCAGTCATTAACACCACAATCAGTCATAGCTCTTACTTAATGTTCTATGTCTGTATGTTTTAATATGGTCTCTTTTAGGAATAAGCCATGTGCAGATTGGTCTTCTTTAGATCGAGGCTCAATTCTAATTTTCTGATGAATATTCTTGTCCCTCCATATTTGGATTTCCCCATTTTAGTTATTATAATAATGGTAAAAGTATAATAATTATAATTTATTACTCCCAGGGGGTACTCTGTGTGTTCTGGTTTTCCTCTTACTGGGGTGTATTATTTTACTCAAAAATGATATTTATGATTTTATTTTTTCTATAGCTACGAGAATATGCAGTAACCTTGAAGGGACTAGTTGACAAGAATTGTAGTGATGAAGAAATGAAAGCAGCTAAAGTCAAAATGATGACTGAGGTTTGTAGATTTGTTTGTGAATCTCATGACCTCCAAGTTTCCTCAGTATATTATTTTATAACCAACATTTGTACCTTAATAAATTTATTAAATAGAGTGCGGAAAATAATAAACAATAATTAGATGAGGTTGAGCAAAATATGGAGTGTGTATTTGCCAGAGGCAAGCAGATCAATTATTCAGCTGAGGCAAGTAGTTGATCTGTGAGACACTGACAAATCACGATATTTTGCAATAACTGAGTTCAAAAATTTGTTTTATCATTCGGTCACCAATGCAATCGCAGGAAGGAGAAAAGTGTGGTTTCATTTACGCCTGAACAGAATATTACTTGCAGCCAAACACAATTGAACGACATTGTGCATGAGCAGCCCATTATTTGTAGGCAGTTATTTGCAGGTCATGTGGTTAGCTCTTGGCCAATGAAAGGGGAGAACAATTTGCATGCAATGATAATATTATGTATAATCCTCTCCATAGTGAACAAGTTACATGTATGCAGCCTGTTCTTTCTTTCCTTTTTGTATCTCCTTCATATTAATTTTGTTCTTTTTGATTTCAGGTTTACAGGATTACTAGCATCTGCCTTGGCACTCCACCCAAGACATTTGACTGGGAATATTCTGATAAGAGTAAAGCGTACTGTAAGCTGTCAGGAGTGACCCCCCTCCAGTTCTACAATGTACATGTTAAACCAATATACAACCCACTTGACAAGGTGATTACAGCATGATTAGGTAGATTTACAGGGGGACAAGGGGCAGGGCATGGCCCTCTTTCTGCATGAGACATTTTTGTCAAAAAATATCTGTCAAGACGTGTCTTTGGTGGATTTATAGAACTGATGTAATTTCTGGAGACCAATGCTTCCACAGTTCTATAATTAATAAAACAAAGGCCTGCATAATCATACAAATTTTTGATACAGATTATCCCCACTTTAGTGCCTGAATGAGACTTTGTCCCAAATAAATATTAAACAGTGGAAATTTAAAATCATGTTTGCTGTAAATAATATTCTTTTCAGGTGTGCCTTGTAAATGATCCTCGTAATCCTTACAATAGACTCCTAACTGTAGAGTACCTTAGCAACATGATGAATGGCCGACTTGTTTTGTACAATAACCAGTCTGTTGATGTCCTCAAGAAGCTTGCAGCAGCATCCCTTAGAGATCATGAGGTAATGATTATTTCTTCAGTACAGTCAACTCTCTCTAAGATGGACACCTTTGGGTCCTTTTAGACTGGCAAAAATTGCATAGATATCCGCCAGATCCAAAAGGCAAAACCATTGTTTGTAATAAAGGGAACTTATACCCCCATCTGCTGAAATCAGCTGCATTGCCAACAACTCATTGGAAGAGGTACATTTGTACTTGGAAACTAGCACCTCCCAATTGGCTATAGACAAATATAACAAAATTAACAAAAATAAAAATTAATTTTTGAGCTTGAGTTAAATGCTCATGTAGGCTGATTTGAATTTGCAGTGAACAACAATGCATATCTCAGAAAGCAACCCATAATTTTATCTTTTAAGAGACCCAGTCCTCTGGTCCTTTCCGGCAAAATGGTTATTTCTGCCTGTCACATCATGCTACATTGTCAGGAATACCATCTCTTGAGTCATGTCTCTGATAACCTACACTGGGTAAATAAATTCTATAAGCTAAAGACGTCTTTGGCACTGCAAAACTGGTTTTATTGTACAGTACTTGTTTACTGCTTACTCTTAAGTCCTATTTACACATGTTTTGCCTTGTTATTTAGTCACTTTTACTGTTTGTCATTATTTTCCTCAGGCAGTTTGGTTTGGATGTGATGTTGGTAAACACTTTGAAAGAAAACTTGGAGCACTCCATCTTGATGTGTGAGTTAGCCTTATATTAGTGTACGAAAACGTTGGTATATTATGAGGCAGTTATTGGATTTGCTGACTTGAGGCAATTACTTCCTCAAAGAAAAATAACTGGGTTACTGTGTGCTTGGTTCTATATGGCCACATTAAGGGAGACTTCATGTCGATCATAACTGACTTCAACAGAGGTTGATTCCTATGTAACGCTCTTGCAAGGTCAAGTTTGAACTAGTGTGGAAACTCAAAGCCTCATTGTTAATAAACCATTAAAAAAGTCAGCCTTTTTCCGTTTAAATTCATTTCATTATTTTTTTTGCAGTCACAACTATGAGTTGGCGTTTGGTATTTCTATGGTAACGCTAGACAAAGCTCAGCGTTTGTTGTATGGCGACTCACTTATGACTCATGCCATGGTTTTCACTGGTCTCTCCTGGGAGGTAGGTTGAAAAGAAAAATACTAAGTTAACATGAATTCCTAGTTTATGACTCTAAGTTACAATTTAGTTACAAAGGCCGCCTACTCACATTGCTATGTTGTGCGCATAGATTGGTGTTATATTATTGTAAATGGAACGTCAATGTTCAGTTACAGTGAATTCGAAAAGTAATGGTCCAGTTTTGTTGTTTATTTTTGGCATTGAAATTGTTTCCTTTTGTCTTTCGCTAAGGATGACATGGATTGGAGCCTTCAAAACAATGGGCAATGTTTTCAAGTTTTAATGCTATGCCTACAAAAATCACCAAAGTATATCATAGTTAGTGCTCTCCAATGAAATTGGTTTGCTTTCTTTCACATAACTCCACAGGAGCATTTTGTGTATGGATAAGGTCACTTAGTAATGACTCCAGGACAGGATTGACCTAAAACAGCAATATCCCCATGGAATAGCCCCTTTAAGGTATTTGTGATTTTTTTATTACTTTTTTCTAGGGAGATGAGCCTGCTGGTGACACAGAGGATCCCAAGCCAGCGGCAGATGAGAACCTTCCAGAGTTGAAGACCACCAAATGGCGCGTGGAAAATTCCTGGGGCGAGGAAAAGGACAAGCCAGGTTACCTAATGATGACTGATAGCTGGTTTTCGGAATATGTTTATGAAGTTGTTGTGGACAAGAAATATGTCCCAGCAGACATCATGGCTGTGTTAAAGCAGGACCCAGTGGTTCTATCCGCTTGGGACCCAATGGGCTCCCTTGCTTGCATAGTGTGTGGAAAAGACGAACATCTAGCTCATTTGTGATATATTAGAAGTTTGTTAACTGATGATATGTGCATCACACCAATCAAGCACATGAAAGAAGATGCCATGTCTTCTCTGTGTCTTGCTCAGTAGCCTCTGTATCAGATGCCAGAATGGGAAATGAGGGGATTTCTTCACCCACTAATTGCCCAAAACAGGAAGGGAACTCAGAAGGATGGAAGTTAAAATTGTTTTCCTCTTTACACGCTGATATCCTTCTTCTTCCTTTCTGGCACCCGGTACGCACGTTCAGCTAGAGCAATATTACTGTACTCTTCCGTAAAATGGGGCTTATTTATGTTATTGAATAGTGGATGCAATTTGATCGTGACTGAAAACAAATGCTTTAAGCCTGTGAAACAATATATATAATGTAGTGTGCACCTATTATCGTATATTTTATGCTGGCATGGGATATAAATAGAGTCATTGTGCAAATAGTTCAGTGATCTCACTATTTTTTTAACCTTTTTCTGGCATTTTTTTGGATGTCGAAATTAGACTGTCCTCTTTACACCCGCCTTACTGTACTTTACTTAATAAACCACATAGCCCATACACTGCAGGCAAAATGTATCTCTCTCCCCTTAAGGTATCTCTCTCTGCTTAAAGGTCCAACAATGTTGTAAGTTGTTGCGTCTGTTTTCATGCAGCTTAACTTTTGACCGGTTTCAAACTTTGCGCAAAATCTCCCAACAACATGCAACAGGGTGTGCAAACAGACGCAGCATGTAACATCCAGTAATGTCGGGAGTTGTTGGCCAACAATGTCGCGTCTGTTTGCACGGGGCTTAACGGGCATGTAATCAAATTTTCTCTGAGTTTCACAGAGATGTGTCTGTTTTTAAATTTTTTTAAACTCACATCAAAGCTAGCCTGCGTGCAGGCGCTTTAAAGGGATGGGAAAGGGAGTTTAGGCGCGAGAGAAACGCCCTCCTCAACTCTCCTCCCTCGCGCGTGGTGTCACGCCCTAATTCCCTTCCCTTCCCTTTCGAACGCCTGCCACGCAGGCTACATCAAGGCAGGATCAATGCCAGTGGAATTTAAAAGCGCGCATGCTTATCCTCTCCACTTAAGGTAGCCTCTATACAGACAATGTTTTCTTTTTCTTTTTGAAAATCGACGAGCACGAGAGCAAAGCTTGCGCGGAGCACGAGAAAGTCTATTTTCTCTTTTCTCCAACCCCCACCCCCTTACGCTAGCAGTCCATAAATCCCCTGCAGGTTTTATTTTTTATACGTGCTCGATGATCTCTAAAGAGAAAATAGAACAGGCTACCCTTAAGGGGCTTTTTTAAGTTGTGCGTTCCCTTGGTGAGTTTTTAAAGGGTGTATCTAGCTGACCTTTTGAGAATGGATGGTCATTAATGTCTGTCCCCCTTGAGTGTACTTGCTCTCATATTGGATGTGAACCTACGGTGATTTCCATAGATTTCCATTCCTGATGCTTACTCTCCACGTGAAATTCAGTAGCCTCCTGAACAAGAAGTGACCTGTACCTATGTTATACCAAAATGTTGAGGATAGTTCAATCCCATGCCTGCAGGTTTGAAACTTTTTGAAAACATACAACCTGTACTTTGGGCGTGATGGTGATGGTGGTGTTGATGGGGTTGGTGGTGATGGTGGGGGTGATGATGGTGACAGTGGGGGTGGAAGTGGTGGTGGTGACAGTGATGATGGGGGGGCTCGTGATGGGTCAATGTTTTAACAACAACAACAACTATGCTTTATTTGCATGACTGTAACAAAGTATTGCAGTATTGCAAAAGCTAATTGAATTTAATTATTGATTCCTTTTTAAATTAAATAGTTAAAGTAATTTTAAATATATTAATCATTGCTTACTTTCAACCATCAACAGGATTTATTATTCCGAAGACAAGTTTGTCTCTCAATTCAAAGCAAGATGATATAAATGAAATTAATTGGATTTTAATAACATAGTCGGTAGAATTCATTAGATGTGATAATAAGGTCTCGTGTGATTGCAGTCGTAGAAACGGTATTTTAGAGAGGAACATCTCTGTTATTGAAGAAAAACTTGGACAATCTAATAAAAAGTGAGTTTCATCTTCAATTCTGTTACAGTTGCAGAGACGCCGGGGTGATGGTGAGGATGGTGGTGGTGCGGGTGATTATGGCGATGGTGGGGGTGGGGGGGGGTATATTGGTGGTGGTAATTATGGTGGTGGGGGCTGGTGATGGTGGTGGTGGTGAGGATGGGGGTGATGGGGTTGATGATGGTTATGGCAGAGGTGATTATGGTGATGGTGCGGGGGGGTCCTAGTGGTGGTGGTAATTATGGTGGTGGAGCACTGGTGATGGTGGGGCTGGTGAAGATGGTGGTGATGGGGTTGATGTTGGTTGTGGAAAGGGTGATTATGGTGATAGTGGGAGGGTCGTAGTGATTGTGGTAACTATGGTGATGGGGGGCTGCTGATTTTGGGGGTGGTGAGGATGGTGGAGATGATGGGAATGGTGGTGATGGGGTTGATGATGGTGATGAAAGGGGTGATGATGATGATAGTGGGGTGGTGATGAAGGTGGTGGTGGGGAGGGTGATGAAGGTGGTGGTGGTGGGGGGTGGGGTTGATGGTGGATGTGTTGGTGATGATGTTGGTGGTGGGGGTGGTGCTGATAATGGCGGTGGTGGTGATGATGGTGGTGGTGGTGGTCATGATGAAGGTGATGGTGACAATGATGACTGTAAGGCTTAAATTTGGGAATTTTCTTCATAAAATTCGAACTGTATGGGACAATCTTAGAAATGAGCTTGACGAGTTAAATGGAGTATCAACAGTTTCAGTACTAAAGTTAATACCGATTTCTTGCATTAGCATTAAGGTTCTACGTGAATTTGCGATTTTTAGCTTATTGGTTTTTTACGAATCTGCCGGAGAGAGAGAAATGCCCTGGGCGATGGACACACTCGGAATTGATAGAGCCATAAACACAGCGGATTTTGATGCAAATTTTTGTTCAATAGTATAACATTTACATTTAAGCTCCGAGGCTGCAACTTGGTTTGAAATGAAGGTTTTTTCAAGCGACTTACTTTACTTTACTTTTAAAAAGCAGTTAACTGACAAATGACACAAAAATTAACTGATAACTGATAATCGTACCCCGTCCTCCCAATCCAGACCCTCTGTGGTATTTTTCTGTTTCTTTAGCATCGCGTGACATACTGGCGTGACTAAAAAACAGGAAATGACACGAGAAATGTAGTGCGGTTTTCTCGGCAAGGGCGGTCAAACATCAGACTTGTATTTTGTGATATGATCATTGGTGGCGTGTTTTTATCGCAGAATTAACGTCGTAGTTTGGCTAATTTTGTAGTTTCACAGTACGTATACAGAAATTTAACTGCAACGGAGTAGAAGTGGACCTTGGAAGTTATTAAATCAGCTTTCAGGTAAGGCAAGCCGTCTGGTAAGGCGGAGGAGCCCACGGAGGATGTCGACTAAAAATAAGCAGTTGTATCAAATCGGATGTAAAACTAATAGACATGTGGGGTTCTGAATTAAGTGAAGAATTAATTTTAGTAGGGATACGTAAAAATTACTTCAAATTATAACTTGAATCCTTCCCCGAAGAAAGTGGCTAGCAACTGAATAGATATGTGGAAAACCAAAATGAAAATTTGAAGTTCAGCCAGTCTTGTATAGAATTTATCGTTTCTTTGTTGCTGCTTTTAATCTGGGAGATGTCTCACCCATTTCTTTGATGGCAATTCTTTTTCAATTTGGGAAGTGATTATTAATTTAGATTTTTTGTCGGCGTTTAAGGTATTGTCTGAGTCAATAGCACCAGATTGGCAGTGGTTTTGTGAAATATTATCACCAAAAGAAATTTGTCTAGGCAAATTTCGACTGGAATTTACATTTCCCCTGACTCTTTATAGCAAGGCTTAAATGTGAAATTTATGAACAAGCTGATAATGTAAAATGCTTTTATTGGATTTTGAAATCCATGAAGTTGAGACCGCATCCCAGACAGTCCCCGTCTTGTGTAGCACCTGTTGTAGTGATACCATGACTGACCAAAGGTTGCACAAAATTGTTGTTTGTAATCTTAATATTATTGCAATGCTTGTCGGGTTTAGGTAACCTATATTTCCGTTCGTCAGTACTGTAACCTTTAAGTTTTTGTTCATGTCTACGCAGGTTAATTCCTTTACATTTCAGACTGGGTTTTTATTGACTACGGAAAATCTCGAGAAAAGCCAACACGTGTACGCACAAAGGACCAGGATCAACGTCAACAAACAGTTGACGAAACTCGTAGTAAAACATGTGATATTCTTGGCCAATCACATGTCTTAGACATGGAAACCGAATGAAAAGGGAACGATATTTCCATAAAAAAACGTCAGTCCGGCTGAAAAGGATCCAGAAAACCATGAAAATCCCCAGAAGCAGTCCTTGTATTTATTGATTCCAATTATAATATATAGATTTAGCCAGGGCTAAAAGCGAAGCTCTCGATAATATAGTTTGTTAAAAAGTAAATAAAATTGTGTAATGCTAGGCGGCGAAGGCAACCGGCCGGAGAATAGTGAAAAACAACAATAGGTCTAATTTAATAGAAAACAAAGGCAACTTTGCACGTGCAGCACACTTTTTTTGTAAATTCCTTTGCCGTTGTTTTGCACGACTACAACGTGAAACTTCCAGAAACTTCTTAGGGCCTGTTTACATGTAAACAGGGTCTTAGTTACACGTTTTATGGAGGAAATGTCGTACGTGTTCTCGTTCACTTTTTTTTTCACTGCCGCTTATTTTGACCTTGCATTGGTGGCCGCTCGCATTTCCCATTTTGTCACCGCCGCTACAAAATTTTCATGTTGTTCTTCCAACAAAAAAATTTATCTCTCGCTCTAGACCTGGCCCGCCGCCTCCTTTCTCTTTTTCTCTGTCTTTCTCCCGCTCTAAATTTCAAATTTGTGGACATGACAATTAGTCTAAACTAAATACTTTAGCCAACACGGATACAGAATTTTCGCTTTCCGTTTTCGTCTTTATTGACTCTTTAGTTGTCTCTGCTTTACAAGAAGACAGACAATTCAGACATCGTAGGGAAGAGTTTCCGAAATGAAAAGAAGCAAGACTGCTTATCACCCATCATTATAGATCTATTAATGTACTGTGTGGGCTTCTTACAGTATGAACTGGAAGGAAATGCAATATAAAGTCGGCGCAAAATTAACACACACTGTATATCAATACATTACTGCTTTTGGTGCTGTACGTTTGCTAAATCTTTGAAGTGCATGTATTTTTCCAGTTGTAAATAAAGATAGTACTTTAATACATTGACATGCAAGGGTGCTAGACCGTTGTTGTCTGCGGCCTTCTTGGCTCTTATAAGACAAAACCATGGTATTTTTATATTTAAATAAGGCCCAGTTCAGACACCGAGCCTAATACATTGAATTAAGTACATGAAAAGTTCGGCGTCTGAATCAGTTAGTAAGGCCTGTTTCAATTTGGAACGGCTGAGCCGTTCTTTTCGCCTACTGCCGGCCAGAAAATTTCGCCTTTGGAGTGACTTTGGAACGGCTTTGATTCAGACTCCGAACTTTTCATGTACCGAACCTTATGCATAAATTATTATACCGTTTTTTGTAAGCAGTTTGATCGAAATGAGCATTTTTCGCCACTTGATCCTAGTTCAGCTGAAATTAAGATCGGAGTCTGAATCAATTCAGCCGGTCTAAATTATTTGGGTCGGCCTTTTCGAATTAGGTTCGGCTCATGAAAAGTTCGGCGTCTGAACCGGGCCTAAATTATCGTAAACTACCGCTTGTTGTAAGTCCTGGGCCTATGCATCCTCATGAGGGGTTATTGCGGGAGCTTATAAACGGAGGGGCTTATACCCGAGGGGACTAGAAAACGAGAATAGAAAAAACTAGCGGGAATAGAAAAAGCGCTTCGAAACAAATTAAGGTTGAAAGCGTCATAATAAATCGAATTCAGTTCAATACATTTAGAACAAAATTAGAAGAGGGGCTTATATCTGGCCGGGGAGCTGGACTTATAATTGGATGTATTTCTCTTGTTTACAGGTAGATGGGCCTTTAACTGAGGGAAGGGGTATGTTTATAAGAGGAAGGTGGTTAAAAGTGGCAGTTTACGGTATATAAAATGATTTCAGTGTGTAAAAATTTAAAAGGCGTTGGTATCTTTGGACATCCTCGGAGGGCGCGACGAATGTTTTCAAGCACGGGTGGAAGGATGGGATTCAGTGCAGTTTCTGAAAGATTGAGCCGGTACCCTCAACTCCTGTACTTAAATATCTTTCTATTTCAGGGATGTCTGAAAGCGGTGAAAGCTGCAGTTCTGATGATGAGTATGAGTCAGATGATTTTCTTTCTGATTCGGAGAGTGAGAATTCTTCGGAAGATGGTAAGTGGGGGAAATTCATTGATATCTCCTGTTACATAACGAATCCGTTTAAATGTAAAGTATATATGTTCCCCAAAGTATTTCTAGAATGAATATTACGTGCTCCAAGATTCACTTTTGCTAGCTTTACCAATTCACCCTGGAACCGCCTGTGCTGAATCCACGTCCCTTGTACCAGCTGTGACATCATCATTTTTTTAAGGATCAAAGACACTTCTTCATGTACCTGGTTGAAGGGGAAGAGAACTTTTAAACAATGCCAGAGTTCACTAGATGAAAACCTTTTTCTGCTCCTTTCATCTGATCCTACGATGCTAAAAACTCTGCCTAAAACATTTCAAACCGAACTGAAGCTCTAGTGGAGCAAGAAAGGGGAAGGAAGAGCGGAGAAAGCGCAACCGCTTTACAAAAGTAACGGAGGCTCTGGGGACAAGATTGAAGCGCAAAGCGTATGCCCTGATATTTTGCACATGCCCGAACTACGTAAGCTGATATTTGGCTGAATATTTTGCATGTGGAAGAGAAGGCCGCAAGGTGCGCGGCCTAAAAACGGCGTTGGGGGTACTTTTGGCTTTTCATAGCCAGATAGTGACAAGAAAAGGTTCCAATAGCTTTAAAAGGCGTTTTTCGGCAAAATTCCCAAGGGCGAATGAGTGAATACTAAAGGCGCGTTCGATTGACCGTATTCTGGAATAGGAATACATAGCGGAATGAATTTACTTTACTGGTCATTACTGGACGGCTTCGTGTTAAGTATCGTGGGATATTTTACGTGTCAAGCTGTATTTTGGCGAGACCGTAAAACTTAAAGTAGTTTGCTCAATAAATCCACTTTCTTCGGGTCATCGTCGGCACTTGGAGGCTCTATGTTTTTGCCAGGAAAATATTTGCGAGTAAATAAGAGATGGACTGACAAATAATTGTGACTGGGCTTATAATGGCAAGTGGATACACGGGAAAGAGCAAATTGCGATGAAAAGAAGAAAAACCTCCCATAAAGTAGTTTCGCGGAGCTTGTTGAAAACAATCAACGAACTCAATACCCGACTTTTGCCCGAAATATGGTCATTAATACAACTGCTTGGGCACAGCGTAGTTTCCATATAGCGAGTTGGTGTTGTTTGGATCCTTTCATGAAAATAACGGAAATCTATTACTAAGTGCGTGAGCACTTACTTTCCGACAGGTCTTCGAACGTTTTGGGACATCTGCAGAGTTAAGAGTCTTGCCGAACATCCTGCACACTGGACTGCGTCCAGATCCTGAACTCTGCAGCTACTAAATACTAATTGAAACGCAAATAATCTTTGTTCATAAAATGGGAGAAACCCGACCTCAACCAGCAGGTGAAACACATAAACCTGACTCTCTCCCTGTAAGTAGCTAAGCTTCACTAATTTTAAACCTTTCAGTACGCAATATTAACAACGCAATGTAAAGAAGTTTGTAACATCGCGGGCGATTTAAATTCAACGGCGATTTCAAAATATGTAACACTGAAGACGACGGATGTACCGTCGAAACGTGTTGTGTTTATGCGGCTGTCTATTTCCAAGTGACGGTTTTGATTTTGAAGGTTGTGTAGCATATTTTGGCAAATGGGATGGTCCTTGAAAGCTGCAAGTAATACCAAGATTCAAAACAAAATTCTAAGCTATAAGTTTGGATCAGGTCATTTTATAGTTTTCGTAGCAAAATTTACTTTTGTTATTCATTTTTTGCTAACTCTGTTTACGAATTTAGGCGAAGAAGACACCGAAGATATCGTTTTCCAAGACAGCGAGGAGGATATGGAAGATGAGGATGATCAACGCTTGAAAGAGTTAGAATTATGTTCATCCTCTGATGAAGGTAGCTAAAGAGAATAAACTGTAAAAACAACCAGCCGTTTGTCCTTGGGAACAAAAGAACGTTCCCACATTCAGGCCCGGCCAGGGGTATTGAGTACTCGGGTATCCGGGGTCTTTTTTATTCAGGTATTCGGTATTTTGATATCACAACTGTGGGTATAAATTATGTTGTTTTTCTAAATTATTGGTTTTTGGTATTTAGACACGAAATTTTGTGCATTTGTTCATAAGTGAATGCATGTTGACACATTGATAGAGGGGCGGGCAAAGGAGGGAATTGATAAAGTTCGTGACCGACTGCAATACACCAAAAGTTATACACTGTAATATGCACTGTATGTGGGTATGTTATCTCTCACTGCCTCAGTAACATGACAAATCGTTTTTAGGGACTATATGTGGTATTCTGTTTCAAGACCGACACTTTTAGGTATTCGGTATCGACGATTTTACCATTTTTAGGTATGTTGGCATCTAATGAGGAAAAATTCCCGAATGTTGGTATCCCACTGCCCCACACTGGCCGGGCCTGCCGTTTCTTAGAGGCACCAATTTTAAACTTGGGTTGACAAAATACAGTGCGTGGCACCCAAGCGTCGACCACCTCGTTTGATACTGTTTAAGTACTGAAAGGGAATTAGGACTGTTGTAACTCTTGATAAAATAACAACATCACTGGGTAAACAAGACAGATATATTAGAGAATTGGAAATACAGGGGGAAGAAGACAGAAAACCTTGGTTTCGTGCACATGTATATCTTACTTTACGAAGTACAAACGAAAACACGTAACTTGGTTTTTGCAATTTTGCCTTGCCTGTACACTAATAATGGTAGAAAAACGGAGGTTGTCACAATTCGAGAATTGTGGCCATGATAACCGCGAAGTTGTTCGAAAACGCACTCGAAAGAGAAGTCTGATTAAAACCTAAATATCGTTTTCATGTCGATGGGTAAAGATGAAGGTTGCCACGGGCAAGGCTATGCACTGAGGAGTGCACAAGTACGAGAACTGCCTGGAAATGAAAACGTTTTGCCAGATGGCTTGGTATAGACGGTAGAAGGCGAAACGGAAACGCTATAGTACGATCACGTAGCTTTCAAAGGCGTTTTGCTCACATGAAAACAAAAATTAGACAGCTGCAAACACACCAATTTTTGCAGTTTTTACATTCGAATCCTTTACGTTTGACTTTTGAACTTTTGTCGTAAACATCACCTCAATTGAGTTATAAAAGTCGTCTCTTTCCCTCTTCACAGAAAGATGCCCGCAGGTTTGACTTTGTAAGCTGAAAGATCACGTTAGATCCTTATTGTAAGCGTATTTTATCTCCAGTTTAAGTCCCACTCTTCAGATATTTTTACATTTTAGCCAATTTTTGCGTTTCATTAAGCGGTGGCTTGGTAGGGTGTCTTCGATTTCTCCTTGTTGATTTATTTTTTTATCCAACAATTGTGATATGTAGATGTTGAGTAGTTCAAAGATACGTGAATGCCGTCGTGTTATTTATTTTTTGCAGACTCCATGCGTTTTGAAACAGCGCGATCTTCAAAAGTCGCTAGTTTTGGCCTTTGAATCGGTCCAAATTATGCCCTCGGATGGCGGAAGTCATTTTGGCTTGTAGCAAAAAAGAAAAGCAAGAAATCTAACAAACTAACCCGGTTTTATTACATGTACACCAAATACTTTTAGTCCACAGACCATAAAGGCAAATTTTTTTTCCGACCCGAAAATCATCAGACCGGTCTTATTGAGACTGCCACTGACCTAAATCCGTATTAGGGGTGGCGAATGTTACCTCGAAAAACGTGGGTCTCGGAAAATTTTGGCAGGATCTCGAAATCTCGGAAACGTTTTTGACAAGTCTCGAAGTCTCGTTTTTTTATGGTTTGTTTTCGGATTTCTAACTAGGATCTCGGCGTCTCGGCGAGTCTCGGATTTTACCATTCGCCACCCCTCGTATTTTGGGGATTAATTCATGCTTCTGCGTTTCATGGAAAGAATCCGAAAAACTTAAACTTGACAAGTAGTTTCCAGTGAAAATACAGGTTTACTACGTCCTACCGGCTCGTGCCAGTACTGCTGGAACACTTAAGGGTGGTCTTCACAAGCAACAGAGTCGGGAGTGCCCTTCTGATTCCACTTACGACTCCGTTGCTCACGATCTAGTGAAAACTAGGTTGTCGAATTACAAGCAGAAGGGGAACTAAAAACCAATCACAAATCGTGATAACGAAAATCTTGAGTGTCTTTCTTTTTTTTCGCCCTTACTTACGACTCCGGTTTGATTTTTACCAGGTCGTATGCGCTACTTATTCATTTTCGGATTACCCTTCGTTTTCGTCGTAACAAATCCAAAGAATCCGAGTTCAAAAATCTAATCTTAAATTTTCTCAAAGAAAGGTACCCTATAAAAAGAACTAAAATGATTCATCCACAGAAACCGAAGAGCTAATGAAGACTGATCAAGTGATAACCCGCATTAACGACACCTTCTACAGGAAAGACGTGAGGCCTACGTAAGTAAACTTTATTGAACTACTTAGACGAAAGTACTTTTTTAAGTTTCAATGTATTTAGCACGCGACTACTACTTGAAAATATTGTTATAATGTCTCCTAATTGGACACGGGACTACCATTTCTAGATGGTACGTCATCCCTCGAAGGTATAGTCGTTTGTCGGTAGTAGTATAGTAGGTGTCAGTTACTCCTTTTTTGATGGGAACCTCATTGATTTGAGAGGGGAGCATATATATTAACGCCGATGCTGAGATACCTGTTTGTCTCAGCTTCTTCACTTGTTTCATTTCTGTAATATCTGCGTTGGCTAAGGTATTGGAAAGAGTAACGAACGATCAGCTATACGCGTACCTATAGAGTGTTTTCACATGACGTCACGGCGGCCATATTGGTGTCCCAAACCAATCCTCTGGGAGTTGAACTATTTTCTTATGCAAACGTTTTCTTTTGCTCCAATAAATTTGCATAGATGCTAGCCACGTGAGTGAAAAACACTCTATAACAACATATCATAATTTCAAAAAGTCATTCCCGATTCCGTTCGATCCGTTCTACAGTCACTGCTCTACTTGAGGTTACCGGTAGCTGAGATTTTGACACTGATCGTGGTAACGTTACTGACTGTAATATTTCTAAATTATGAAAGGCCTTTGATACGGTAGACTACACTATATTACTGTCTATTAAAATTAAGTTTCCACAGAATTCGTGAAAATGCTTGCAGTTGGTTCAAGTCATATTTAAAAAATCGAACGCAAATATGTTCTGTTACTGACTCACTTTCCAAAACCTGCTCGCTCCGATGTGGTATCCCTAGGTGGATTAAATTGGGTCCTCTTGGGTATTATTTTTATTATTATTATTATTTTATTATTTTTTTATTCCCTTGGGTATTATTTTTGGAAGGGAATTTGGGCGCGAGACCGCGCTCGAGGGAGAAGGGGGGACGGGAACTTTCTTCCTCACGCGCCCGAAATCCCCTGGCCCTTCCCCTTCGAACGTCTGCCACGCATGCACATGCTAAGTTTACTAAAAATCGAACGTCCACAGTTTGTCCTTTCATCGTTATCTTTTGTTCCCCCATTAGTTATATAAACATCCTGACGGACTTTGTAGACGCGGAGATATTCTTGATC